AGAGAGGGAGAAACACAGGGAAAAAAACATCAATGTGTGGTTGCCTCTCGTGCGCCCCCTACTGGGGACCTGGCTCGCAACCCAGGCATGTGCCCTGACTGGGAATCGAACTGGGGACCCTTCGGTTCCCAGGGCGGAGCTCAGTCCAGGGAGCCACACCAGCCAGGGCTGCTTCTTTACACATGTTCTGTTTGGAAAGGTGCTGTTTGGATGGGATGGATGGGTAAGCCAACCGGGAGGAGAATGGATTTCTTGATCCTGGCGTGTCTCAAAATGCCCAGGGCGGGCAGTCTCATCCGAGCACAGGAAGCCACGATTGCCCTACTACAAGCCAGGCCCCGGGGTTCCCTTCGTGGCTCATGCCCACACCCCTAAACCTTTGAGTTCCACCCCTGCAGGGCAGGGATGTCTCAAAGGGCAGCTGAGCTTGAATACACAGTGCCTGTTCTGTGTGCAACCTTCCTACGACCCCTTGTTGTTCAGTAACAACCCGCCCCAACCAGGTATTTCCCAAGTGCTGGGAATCTGTGCAGAGCCAAAGGTTGGTAAGGACTGGGGTGGGGGGAGGGGTGGGAACCAAAGTGTGTCCCAAAATCCTGGTCCTCGGACAACCTGGGAACTGGGACCTGATCTGGACACAGGGTGTTTGCAGGTGGAATGAGGGCAGGGTCTGAGAGGAGGTCGCCCTGGGTCAGGGAGGCCCTGCGTCCAGTGACAGTGTCCTGAGAAGGGACAGAAGAGGAGACGCAGACTCTGAGAAGCCACGTGGAGATGGAGGCAGAGACGGGATGGACGTGGCCACCAGACCAGGGGCACCTGGAGCCCCCCAGGAGCTGGAAGAGGGGAAGCCCCTCCCTGGAGCCTGTGGAGGGAGCACAGCCCTGGGACCCCTGGTCCCCAGGACGGAGGAGGGTAAATGTGTGTCACCCCACCCCCACCCCAAGGAATATCGGACGAGGCCCAGCCAGCACCACTGTCCTTACACCTTCAGGCTGCAGACAAAGCTTCCTCCAGAGCAGGGTACCACCCGAGCCTTCCCACACGACGGTCCTACCTATTGAATCCGTGGGTCTGTCCCCGAAACCCACCCAGCGGCCCAGCGAGGTCCTGCCTTCTGTCACGGCTGTCAGAGCAGCCGGGTTTCCCATTCCCTGGGGCCAGAACAACGACGGATCCGCAGCTGAACGGAGAGTTAGCTTCCGTGCAGCCGATGACTGGGGGGGGGGGGCAGAGATACCCAAAGACAGACCTCGGCTCCCCCCGACTTTCCCTTCTCGTGGGAGAATGGAGTCGCCTGGCATCTGAACATGTTCCGTGCCTGGGGACGGCAACATGCATGTAGCCTGGGGTTGTTAAGTTGAGACAGCACTTTCGAGTATTCTGAATGGAGTTTTGAAATGTCTGCGTTTAATGCCCAACCCTGATGGGTCTCCACAAATAAGGCAAGGGGTCTTTGGGTGTCCTGAGGCCGTTAACGTTTCAAAACTCACCTTCCGGCACCCAGAGGCCACACCTGCTCCCAGGTACACACCACCAACAAGAATTAACGTTCCCTGGGCAGGCTTTTCAACACCCCGTGCTTGGAAAAGCAAGGTCTCCACCAATAGCACAGTCCGTGGGGCTGGCCGGGCATCTTATGGGCTGGGCACATGCTGCCCGGCCCAGCACGCAGGCTCAGTTTCCCTACTCACAAAAGGATGTGGGGCCCTGGCTGGCGTAGCTCCGTGGATGGAGCGCGGGCTGCAAACCAAAGCGTCGCAGGTTCGATTCCCAGTCAGGGCACATGCTTGGGTTGCAGGCCACGACCCCCAGCAACCGCACATGGATGCTTCTCTCTCTCTCTCTGTTTCTCCCTCCCTTCCCTCTCTAAAAATAAATAAATAAAATTTTAAAAAAGACTATGAATGGAACCTTTAAAAAAAAAAAACAAAGGATGCAGCAGGGAAGTTCCAGGCCACGGGTGAACCAGACAGCGACCTGCGTCTCGTCCAATCTGCCCCCTTGTCCACTCTCACGCGGGCACCCGGGAAACGGGACTCCTCACAGAAAGCTCCTTGTTCCCCGGACACGGCGACGATGCCCCCCCCCCCCGCCGGGTTTCAGATCAGGGTCTGAGGTCTGGTGTCCACTTCGCCCGTTCGACACAGCGAGGAAACCGTGTCTTTCAATGGCGTGGCTGCCGCTCACGGACATAAAGGGCGACACCACGGTGGCTCACGGCCGCGTCTGCCCACGGGGGATGCAGCTCAAGCCCCGCACAGACTGTGGAAATGAAACGCCTGTAGAGGGATTCGTTCATGTGTTTACACATTATTTCCGCACAGGCAGGACGGCCTTCGAGAAGGACGCCGTGGTGGTCTGGGTTCCACAAAACACTTGTCGAGGAAAGTGGACCATGAGGACCCAGGGTGTTGGCATCTCCGCCGCACGACCTAAGTGGACCCAGGCGTCGTGCCCAACGAACATCACCTCCTTTTGTCAACCACAGAGAGCGCCCTCTATTCCAGACTTCGGAGCAAAAGCTACAACGGGAGCCCCGGCTGGTGTGGCTCAGTGGATGGAGCGCGGGCTGCGAACCAAAGCGTCGCAGGTTCGATTCCCAGTCAGGGCACATGCCTGGGTTGCAGGCCACAGCCCCCAGCAACCGCACATGGATGTTTCTCTCTCTCCCTCCCTCCCTTCCCTCTCTAAAAATAAATAAGTAAAGTCTTTAAAAAAAGCCAAAATGTGCAACTGGGCCTCTTGGGTCAGCGCCGAGTCCAGAGCAAAGTTCAAAGGCACCTCCCCTCCCCTTCCCCCGACAGTGTGGGCAGAAAGAGGTGAAAAGGCACACGGGAGACAGATGCCCCGTGGCGGGCCAGCCACCCGGGTAGAGCAACTGAAAAGCTGCCTGTCATCCGGTGTCTAAAATTATGTTGAAGCCGGAGACAGGCCCGGGCCTGCCCAGGACCAGCGAGTGACACTGGTCTTTATCTCCAGCGACCCTCTTGTGGTGCCGCAGATACGGAGTCCCTTGCCGGACTAGGATGTGTCTTTTAGCCCTTTTTATGTATGTATTTTTTTTCAACTCAGCACGGGGGGGGAGGAACACCGAAGTCCTTCTGAGTGCCCCACACACGTGGTGGAGATAAGCATGCCAGCGTGTGCCCCGGGGTGCAGGTTGAAACTGCACTCTCCACGTAAGTCTCCGTTTTCTGTGAGCACGCAACGGGCTGGCAGGCAGGGGAGCAGGGCCGTGCGGGACTGCAGGCACACAACCCACCGTGCTCCGCGGTTTGGGGGGGCCTTTGCACGCGGTTCCACAGTTTACAGGTGAGTCCAGATTGAAAAGGCACAAGGGCGAGGTGTCACTAGGGACAAGAGCACATTGGGGGCCAGCAGGGAAGGAGTTCGGAGGGGGAAGAAATCGGATAAAAGGGGGGTGACACGGAGGGTCAAAGACACAGACTCATTTTTAGGCGCTGTGCACGCCGGAGAGTGGACAGATGATCGAGTCGCAATAGTGCCCCCGTGAAGCTGACGGTGTGAACCAGGGTCACCTCGGAAGAAATCGTTCTGTTTTTCCATAAACGAAGAGGCACGTTCATGCCCAAGTCCCCAAGGCGCAGGGAGACGCTGCTTTCTGACTGACCATTCAGTCTGAACGATACGGAGCGGGTTCACGCAACAGCAGCAGCCAGGGCCTGGCGAGGCACACAGCTCTGGCCCTGTCCAAGGAAAGGTTGGTCTGCCTGGGGGGCAGGTGCGGACACTGGGGCGCCTGGTGCAGTACCGGATTTTGCCGTGTATAATGTGCACCCATGTTGTTTGGCCCAAGCTTTCAGGGCCAAAAAAAAAAAAAACCCAAAACCCCAATCTTTTGTTGTGATTTTGTAATTCAGTTTTTTTTTTTTTTAATGGGGTTTTACTCAGACACAAAACCGAGGATCATACTGCAGGGTAGTCTTTGACACACGGGTATGGTTCCGGAATCAGTACTATAACTGATTACTACGTGTATAACGCGTATTATTTCCCCCTCAACAATGTGGGCCCCAACACTGTGCACCCTCTCCACCGCCCAGTGCGGTGTTTCCTTCGCTTCCGAGCGGCGGCGTGGCGAGCGGGGGGATTGGACCGCATTTTCACAACCCTACACGCCCCTGGCCTTGCTTCACCCCCAGCCTTCGGACCGGTTTTCCAGAAGCCAGCAGGCCCTGGGGGGGGGGCGGGGGGGTCAAGGCAAAGCAGAAGTGACGCCGGAAGCGAGAGCTCGGTCCACAGGCCAGGCCGCACAGGGAGCAGATTTCGCTGCCAAGCCACACGGCGTTAATTCCCACTCCAGACTGTGCTTCCCCAAAACAGTTGTTTTTCCCCTCCAAGGACGAGGTCCGCGAGCCGACAGGATTCCTCCCAGCCCACCACGCACCCGTGGGCGCACCAGGTTTCTGGGGTTTTTAGCTCCTCAACGTGCCACGAACGGCCGGTTCTGGGCACCGGCCCACAAGCAGGTGGGAGGTGCCCAGGCCCTTCAGCGGCCAGAACGCCAAGTTGCCCGGCGGCGGCCCCGTGCGTCTCTAACCACAGACAAACAAAGTTGCCCCTGAACGGAAGTGCCCTCCCTCCCTCGCAGACCTCCAGGGCTCCCCAGCACCGGACACCGGGGCCGGGGTGGGGGCGGGGCGCGGTCACCGCCCGACCCCTGGAGGCGGAAGACCCGCCTGAGGTCGGGGACCCCGGGACCCGCCTACTACCCAGAGGAGGGGGCCTTCCCGGGGTGACGCCGCGGCCCACGGCGCGCGGGGCGGAGGACCAGAGCGCACGACCCCCACCCCCACCCGCCGGGCTGAGCTCAGCCCTGCCCCTCCTCCCCGGCGCGCCCCGGAGTCAAGGTCACGCGGGGGCCGGGGCCGGGAGCGCGCCCCGGGCCCGGGGTCGCCGCTGTCGCCGAAGTACCCCGCGTCGCCGCCAGGCCCGCCCTCTGCTGCCCGCCCCGGGCGCGCGCCTCCGCCGCCACTGACCTGGCTCCGCGAAGCCCCCGAGGCAGCGGCGCAGCAGCTGCGCCAGGATCACCGCTGCGCCCATCGCGTAGACGCGCAGGGCCGCCCGCGCCGCAGACAAAGGCGACATGGCTGCCCGGCCACCGCTTCCGCGACGCCCGCCCAGGACGCGGCTGCCGCCAGGACCGACTGGAGGACGGCGGAGCCCCGCCCCGCCCGGCCTCGCCGGGCCCCGCCCCGCCCGGCCCCGCCCCTTCCCCCTTCCCCCGCCCCCTCCCCCCGCGCTGGAAAAGCGACTCAGCTGTCTGTCCCCCGCCAGGAACCCCGCGCCAACCACGGGACCTCCCCTCCTGGGCTAGGACCCTTCATGGATCACAGACCCCACCCCCGCCCTGATCACGGCCCCCCACCCTCATCCTCACCCCGCCCCCGGGACCCTCACTTGGACGCCCCCTGGGGACGAGAGAACCACTCCCGTGGGGGCTCCCACGGGGACCCCTACAGGGCCCTGGAACCACACACCCCGTCCAGGCCAGGTAAGGACCCCGACTGCGCACGTCCCCACCCTTCTGCCTGGACCCCCACCCCACCCCTGCCCGGGACCCCAGCAGCTCCACCCAGCGCGCCAAGCCAGCCCCACCCAGCCCGCCACCCAGAGCCCCACCCGGACACCTAGCAGACCCCCTCGGAGGCCCTCAGCCTGGGACCCGCAGCCCCCACCGGGACCTCCATACCTGCCGCAACCCAGACCTCCATCCAGCCCCCTGCCCCCCCCACCCCCCCCAACCAATTCTAACACCCACTGGACTGCAGGCCAGCGCCCTTCATACGCACCGAGCCGGGACCCCCGACCCCTGCCAAGACCCAGGACCGGGGACCCCCAGGCCCTCTGCTGCCGCTAGAAGCCAGGATGCCCCCTCCACGACCCTCCAGGACCCTAACCCCCACCGGGGTCCCCCATTAAGAAGTGACCCCACTGGACCTGCCTGGGGCTGAAATCCTAGCCCAGCTCTAGGGGGCGCTGCCGAGCACACAGGCTGCGCGCCCCTGGGGCCGCTTGGACAGGGCTCCCGTGGGCGACTAAGACGCTAGGGTTCACCCCTGTGGGGGCACCCCCAGGCTGGCTTCGGACGCGCCCTTCTGGCCTGGCAACTCTGCGTCCTACAGACGAGAAAACTGAGGCCAGACAGCGCTCCCATAATTCCCTGCAAGACCTGGGGACCGGGCTGCTCTACTTGGCCAGGGACGCCCAGGTGTGTCACACCTGCTCAGGTGCGTCCGGCCGAGAGCATCAGGGGACACCCCAGTAGCCCCCGTGACTCCCCACCTTAAAGGGTTTTTTCCCCCCGCAAGAGGCCCCTGCGTGTCAGGTGGAAAGTTGTCGCCCAGGGCCGTCAGAATCGGGACCTAGAACCGGGTCTCCACCGCGGAGCGCGAGGGCCCGCCCCTGTCCTGACCCCCGTGCCCCTCCCTCACGGGAGAGGTGGGAGTCCTGGTTTGTCCTGAGGAAAAGCCCACAGGCCCCGTGATGCGCGGAAGTTGAGCAATACCAGGTTGCATGGAGGGCAGGGGGGAGACCCGAGTGCCCCCCCTTTCTTCCTGCCCCCAACTCCGCCAAGTGTCTTTTAGTGGGCGGTTGCCACAGCCGAGCCTTGGGGGCTGAGACCCGAGGGCTCCACCGGGTGCTTGGAGCCACGGTTGCGGACCCCCAGCAGCGGCCGGAAAGACCCCCTATGGGATGTCTTTCGTTTGTCAAACCTTATGCTTCCCTCCCAGCGCACCTGGAACAAGTCACCCCACCTGGGCCAGCTCCCAGCAACCCGTGTGTGTGACCTCACCGTCGCGTGGGTGAGAAGCTCGCACGGTCCGTTCCCCCACCCCCCGAGTCTGCGGCTCCAGGTCTCCCAAGGTCAAAAACGGGAGGCCCACCCACCCACACACACACACACACACACACAGGAGCCGGTCTGGACCGGCGGTTTCTAGGCTCCGACAGGTGGGCGGCAGCGGAATGTGGCCCTCGGCGGCTATAGCGCTGACGTCCTCGCTGGCCCTTGGCTCCCGGCCTCTCTCTGCTCCGGGCAGGTGTCCCCCGCGTCCGCCATCTGGAACCTGACCACCTCCCCTTCCTGCCGCAGCCCCAGGACGGTGTCTACCGCGTGACATTGAACCGAAGGGTTCACTGTCCCCATGACGCGAAGCTTAGGTAGTGGGCCCCGCCCACCTTTAGCTCGCCCACCCAGCGTGTCTCTGCGGCTACAGCCCTGCTCAGGTCCCCCACCTGTGCAGAGTGTGACAAGACCAGGAGCAAACCGGCGTTATTTCCGGTGCGTCACAGCGCGCGTCTTCGGCACCGTCCTCAACCCGTGTGTGCGCGCGCGCGCGCCGGTGTCCCCCGCAGGGCGTTTCCTGCGCAGAAATTCTAACCGCTCCGGAACGGTCAGATAATAAGGTTTCCCAACCCCGCCCCCCCCCCCCCCTGCCGTCTCTGCTTGGACTGGGCCTTTGGCAGGCTCCGAGATACCCCCAGCTCGCCTGAGTGAAGACGGCCTTATTTTGGGACGTTTGTGACAAAGCCCTTTTTAGGGTCGGTCCAGGAATATTGCCCCCTCTTGCTGTCCTGAGCCCCCACCACTTCCCTGGGGGTCGTCAGCTTTTTACTTCTAAGAACTGCGGTGCAGGAGGGTGGAGACGGGGCGGGGGGGCGTCCACGGAGAGCTAGTCCTGAGAGACCCCCAGGCTGGAGCAGGTCCTCCCGCTGGGTGGGTACCTTCCACAGGTCCTTGTGTCCGTCTGTCCTGCGGTGAATCTTATCACCGGGAGCACACAGATCCACACAGTGGTCTGTACCCACCCAGGGGACATGGAACCCGAGGTGGGGGGGTCTTGAAGGCCCCTGTTGAAGCACATTCCTAGAACTGGAGGAGAAGCCCATCATTCATTTCTCCAGGCAGTCACCGAGCGCGGAATCGGACGGAGGAACAGCAGGGAGTGAGGGGACAGGGGCCTGGCGGCCGTGTCCTTTTGGCCTCCTGCTCTTCCCCAAACAGACAAGGGCAGGCTGTGAAGGAGCGGGGTGCCGGCGAAGTCTCCCCGGTCAGCGCGCCCTTGGCCGGTGTTTCCTGCCTCCCTGGGAGCTTGGGGAAGGCTGGTCACCCGCGGCAGTTGCTGCGCTGGCACACGGTGGTGGTTCGTGTTCTTGCGCGTTGGCGGCCCTCGGCTCCCCGGACCACCTCCAGCTCCAGCGCATGCGCACCACCCATCGCCAGCATCGAGGGGTCCTCATCCAGGGACCCCGGCCTCGGTTCTCCGCCTGTTCTCGGCGCTGCTCCGCCCGGTCTGGACTCAGGCGGAGCTTGCCCAGGAGCCGCGGGGGCGTGGCCACCGGGTGGGTGTCCCCGATAAAGTCGCAGAAACCAGGTGACCCCCCGCCCTGCAGGTGCGAGAGATGCAGGTGGCATCAAGCTTCGTTTTCCCGACTCCCCGTGTTTCGCCGTGCGTAATGCGTGCCTTTCCTGCCCACATTTTTGAGGGAGAATCAAGGGGGCGCCTCATACGTGAGTGTAACGATTACATGCCGTGACATAACCCTGCGGACAATGCACACGAAACGTGGGTGCAGGTTACGCACGGCAAAATACGGTATTTGGCAGAACTGTAGAAAGGCTGAACACACTGGCTGTTTGGGAGACATTGTATTTTTTTCATAAAGATTCTGTTTATTTATTTTTAGAGAGAGGGAGAGAGAGAAGGAGAGAAACATCCATGTGTGGTTGCCTCTGGAGCGCACCCTACTGGGGACCTGGCCCGCAGCCCAGGCATGTGCCCTGACGGGGAATCGAACCTGCGACCCTTTGGTTCCCAGGCCGGCGCTCAGTCCGCTGAGCCACACGAACCAGGGCACATTGTATTTTTTTGAAGTCGTCTGAAGCCATATTCTTTCCTAAAAAATGTAGAACGGTGATAGCATTCACTCTGTTTCCATTTAAAGTAATTGTCGGTAGATATGTAGTTCTTTCCACGTAATTATGGATATTTCTTACGTTTCCTCCTTTTTCTTCAATCAGTCCCTTTAACGTGTCATAGGACGCTGGTTTGCTGGTGATGGACTCCTTTAGGGTTTCCTTGTCGGGGAAGCTCTTTATCGGCCGATCGATGGCACACGAGAGCAGCCATAAAAATCAACCTCGTGCTACCATTTGGAGAAGCGCGATGAGTCTGTAGGGTTTTGTGGCCAGTGACATAACTCAGGGCGAGACAAATCTTCTTGTGTAACTTCCCTTGTCTGTGGAATCTGAAGAATAATAGAAACAAACAAAGAAAGCAGAAACAGACTCAGAGACAGAAAGAGCAGACTGAGCCCCTGGCTGGCGTAGCTCAGTGGATGGAGCGCGGGCTGCGAACCAAAGGGTCGCAGGTTCGATTCCCAGTCAGGGGACACGCCTGGGTTGCAGGCCACGGCCCCCAGCCACCGCACATGGATGTTTCTCTCTCTCTCCCTCCCTTCCCTCTCTAAAAAGAAAATAAATAAAATCTTTAAAAAAAAAAGAAAAATAAAAAAAGGTATTTAAAATATCTACATGACGACGGTCACGAAATTGAGGCGGTCACTTGCAGCCCGTGTGGGTCCCCTTCCCAGGTCGTCCTGGGATGCGCAGACACGGGGAAGGCCAGGTAGGCGTGCAGAACCTCCCCAGGGCCCCTGGAGGGAGTTAGCGGGTGAAGCCTGCCCTGGTGTGCCACAGAACAGGCCGGCGGCGTCGGCGGAGGGCGTTTGAAATACCTTCAAAATGCAACGTATGGACCGCAGACGTCCTTTTGGGCGGCTGATGCTGCAAATGCCACAGGATGCATGATGCGGAGGGTCACACTGTTGGTTTCAAATGTGCATGCATTCATTCACTCATTCACTCACTAATTCATTCATTCAGTCATTCATTCGTTCCTTCAGTCATTCACTCACTGATTCACTCACTCACTCATTCATTCACTCACTCTCTCACTCACTCACTCACTCACCCACTCACTCACTCACTCTCTCATTCACTCACTCACTCACTCATTCATTCAGTCATTCATTCGTTCCTTCAGTCATTCATTCGTTCCTTCAGTCATTCACTCACTCACTCATTCACTCACTCATTCATTCACT